AAGTGAAGTCTTCAATAATTGACTTTTATTTGAGTTTGCCACTTTGTAAAAAATAGTTATATAATAAATTAATATCATGTGATCGGTATGTGTCCATAATGTGAAATATTATATGATTGGTACATGTCTGTAGACTCTTTGCATGAGATTTCGATGGTTTACATGACTAAAAACTAACCAATAAAAATAAATAAAAATGAAATGTTATACAGTCAGATCTTTATAAATGCACTTCTATAAGTGCACACCTTCTATAAATACACTATAAGGTCCGGTTCCAAGCTGGGATCATAGTTTTAAGTACACACCCTCTATATTCTGCATGTGCATTTGATTTTGTGTTAAGGTTAGGGTTGTTAATGGGTTGGGTTGGGTTGATCCAATTCTTAACCCACTTTAGTAAATTAGACTTACTCTAGCATTTTGTTCTGGGTTACTCTATAGCTACTCCGAGTTGCTCCATAGCTACTCCAGGTTGCTCCAAACTTAAAAATAAAAATTTAAACCTACTCCAACTTGGGTTGGGTTCTACTCTGGAGTGCTCCGGAGCAAGCTACTACATTAACAACCCTAGTTAAGGTACCCTCTGTAAATGTACTATCACGTGATTACAAATCGTCTTGACCAATAAAATTTGAACACGCAAAGTAGTTAATCTGATACATAATCAGGATTTATGCTTTTGAAATACAGTAAATGTGAATACTAAATTGGGCATAGATTAAAAGTACAATAATAAGTTAGAACAATTAGTAATTGAAAATAGTAATTAAAATAAAATATACAAGATTAGTTTAATTAAATAAGTTACTAGAAATTATACAATTTAATTTGACTTTTATAAGGATCATCAAATAAACTTTAGAATTGGTCCTATATAAAAGCAGAATAAGTAAAAAAAAAAAACTTTTAACTCAAAAAAAAACTGGTTATGAATACTTATCTGAAACAAGTAACTTGTCACAAAGTGTAGTTATAAAAAAGAAGATTCAAAGATTCTTGTAAGTTTATTATTAGTATATAACAAGCTTAAAAAGAAAAACCTAGTCTTCATACTATAATAAATCTGGATTAATTAAATTTATATCTGGATTATATCTTAAAATCAAGTACTAGAAAAATCTAGATTAAATCTAAATCATTTCAATCTATAATCTTTTTTAATTAACACTTTAATAAATTTTTTAAATTATTAAAACAAAAAAAAAAAATTTGAAGACATATTCAATAATGATCATGGTGTTTTAGTGAATTTAAGTTTCAATAAATAAACCTTTTTCATTCTTCTAAACAAAAAAAAAAAATTCTTTTATATAATATTTCTTGTAATATCAAAAAAAACAAGTCTAACAGACAATCAAAAATTTGAGTTCTGTGTTTATGTCTGTGATAACAAAAGAACTTGTTCAGAATATGTAAAGTAGATCAAAAACAAGTAAGATATTAAAGTTAATAAGTTTACAATTACACAAATCTTGCAAACTAAGAATCAAAGGTTTTCAAATAAAGTTACAAGTTCAGAAACTAAGTATTATAAAGTTGTTACTATTCTAGAGCTTGAGTTTGTACTTAAGGAATTTATACTAATATATTAGTATTGTACTATTCTAAATAATGCTATAATAGTTGAAAAGACTAAATTATTAATAAAGAAACTTAATATTTCTGAAGACAAGTTGCAATTTTTAACTGGATGGCTTTAAAAATTTAAAGAACAAAATAGGATCTGTTAAATAAAATTTTATGAAGAAACATTATTTATTGATAAGGATGTTATTACTAAATCTTTACTATTGTTGTAGAATAAATATACTAGATACTCTCTTGACTGTATATATAATATGAATGAAACAGAACTTTTTTATTAATATATTTTTTTTTTATTGCAAGTTGGAACTGGATCAAATTTTAGTAATATAATGAATTGCAGAATATAAAAAGGATATGAAATGTCTTTCTGTTGTATTATATATAAACATTGATGGGTCTCACAAATTACCTTCTCTTATAATTGACAAATATGCCAGATCATAATGTTTCAAAAATGTAAAAATTAATAATTTGCTTATAATGTACAGAAATAATGCTAAAGCTTAGATGCTTGTAGTTCTTTTCTAAGAATAGCTTCAGGAATTTAACTTTTTGATATTACAAAAGCATAATAGTTAGTGCATTCTTTTACTTCTTGACAATTGCTCTAGTTATAAATTAGATGAGTTAACTCTTTAGTATGTAGATATTTATTTTTTTTCTAAAAATTTAATATCAAAGTTGTAACCAATAGATATGAAAGTAATTATGACTTTTCAAAAAGTTTATTATTGTTTTTATCTTCAATTAGTTGGAAGTTAGTTTAAAAATTAAAACCATTATAGTTTTTTATAGTTAGGCTATACATACTTAATGTTTTGGTTTTTATAATACAAAATTTTAATTAAATCTAGCTGGGCTACTTTTTTTTTTTTTTAAGAGTTTTTAAATTTTAATTTAATCATATTATAAAGACTAATTAATTTTGCATGATCTTATTAAATTAATTTTTTTTAAATTTAACTAAATGTTAAAGCAAGTAAAAGCAGAAAATCTTATTCAAGATTTAAAGATGAATGTTTTACAGATAATTCTATATATTATAAAGAGTTGGAAAGAAGTTTTAGTTGATATTATATGCAATTGCTAGCATTATACTCAAATTCTTTCATCTAATACAGATTATTTGGATAATTTTCATGAAGCTAATAATTTAAGACTTAGAGATCTTATTAGTTCACTTAATACATTTTGTCTTCTCAATGCTATGAAGATTAATGAATTTTTTAATTTTAATAATGAAAAGGTTATTTATAAAGTTCTTTCAAAAGATTAAGCTATTAAAGAGCTAACTTATGTATTCAAAAATAATAAAAATATTGAAGTTATAGATGATAAAAATATTGAAATAATAGATGATAAAATGGATAATAGTGTAAAGCCTACAATTATTATTTTTTTTTTTTTGGTATTAAGGTGACCTCTTTGGTCTTTTGACTTTTATTAATCACTTATCGGTATTGTGGTT